AAGGTGGGGCAGGGGATAGGCAGTTGGCAAATGTCTCTTGGGAGGAAGAAGCCTGACCCATTGTCATCTGCTTGTCTGTGTAGCTTGGATTCTCCTACCTGTTCCTTTCTACATGGCTTTACCCACAGCCAATATCCCCTCATGCCCAAATGGCTTGCTTCCTGCTTTATCACTGTCAACATTCACATTAGATAATTTGCTGTGGCTTAATCTTCCTTTACCTGCTACCATCATGGTAGTAGGTTTTAGGTGGTATCATATAGTGCCTTTTGATTAATTTAAGTATTTAATTTTCATCTTTCTTCCTTGGATCCATTTTGCCTCATGACCTGAGATTTCTGTTAAAAAGATACATGTTGTCTCTTGTAGACGAAAACTAATAAAGTATGTGTGTGTGACTTTGGGTCTGGATCATGTGTGCATTGATTTCTGTGCTGAAGGTTTAGTTTAGGTGTCTTGCTTTCTCCAGTGATAGCTCATATTTCTTGCTTTCTAAATTATTTTAGCTACTTTGTTAGCCAAGAGAAAATAAGGTATTAGTTTCATTTAAATGTAATGCTTAAAGGTATTTAGGCTATACTGAGAACTAGCTATAGTCTTAATTTTTAAAAATCTTTATTCAGTTGTTTGATACAGGGTCTTGCTATGCAGCTCAGACTCATAGTGATCCTCCTCAGCCTCCCAAGTGTAGTGTTGGTATTACAGGTATGTGCCACCATGCCTGGTTTCGGTGGCTGGTATGGTACGCCCAGGTTCCAGGGGCTAGTACAGCATACAGTACTAGGGATCAAGCCCAGGTCCTTGTGCTTGCTAGGCAAGCACTCAGGCCACTGAGCTAGCTCCCTAGCCCCTAACCGTAGTCTTAATTCTGTGTAGTATATCTGAATTGAGTTGTATAATCTGCTGGGGGTTGAGCGCAGGGAGATAGTTCAGTAGCATAAGTGCCTGCCTGGCAAGTGTATGGTCCTGAGTTTGATCTCCATACTCCCCCTACCCCGCAATAATAACCTGCTAAATCTCTGGTTCTTGTGTGCCAACATTAATATTTAGGTATTTGGTTATAAGAGAATAGTTTTCATAATTTATTCACTTCACACCAACTTTGCCAGTTATAATTGCCCTGCATCAGTAGCTGGCATGTTTGGCATTTAATTTCAGCCCTTCTAAATCTGTTTTGAAGCCCAGCATGGTGGCACATGGTGGCTGAGGCAGGAGGAGCTGAAGTGAATGAAGAAATATGTGTCTCTGGATCTCTGGGCCTTTTTCTGCCCAGATCTTTTACGGGGCTAGGAGTATTCCTTACTGATAAAACATTCTGCTGGCATATACCAGGCACTAATTTTTTTGTTTTGAGGCAAGGTCTTACTAGAGTTAATGCTGGTGTTGAACTCACTGTGTAGCACAGACTGGCCTTGTGCTCATGGCGATTCTCCAGCTTCTAGATTGCTGTTTTATAGGAGTATGTCACCATGCCCAGTTTTAGGCCCTAGGTTTTGACCCCCAGCACTAAATTTTACTTCAATTCTTAGCTCTGGGATTACCTTACATGGAATGCTGATCCCTTTGTTGGCTGGTTTTGCCATTTCCTGAAGTACATCAGTGGGTCAGGTTTCTCTTTTCAGGATACAGTAGTTGCCCCCTTTATGATGGGGTACCATCCAAGTACCTCCTAGTGGTTGCCTGAAACCATGCTTAGTGTCTGGTCCTATGTAGTGTTTTTTTTCCTTAGAAATATGCACCTATGATAAAGTTTGATTCACAAGTTAGGCACTATAAGGTTAATAATGCCAGTAAAATAGTATAATTGTAACTTAATAAAGTTGCCTTGAGGATATTATCAGGTAAAATAAGGGTTACTGAATATGTACTGTGGTACAGAAACAGTTTATCTGCTTTCCAACACCAAGGGGCTTGTGACACAGTGCAGGCATTTTAGATGAAGGGGATTATTTATGTCCTGGGAATGCATAAGCTTTCGTCATGTTACTCAGAACAGCATGCAATAAATTGCAAATTGTTTTGTTTGTGGAATTTTCTTTTTAATATTTCTGGCCTGCAGTAGAACATGAATAGTTGAAACCGTGAAAAGTGAAACTGCATAAGGGTCAGTTACACTGTTTTGACCTAAGACCTCTGCTGTGGGCTCCTTTGAGTAGTTCTCTTGTTTTTGGTCTGAGACAGGGTCTCACTGTGGAGTTTATGCTGGTCTTCAACTCACTATGTAGCGCAGGTGGGTCTCAGTCTCATGGTGATCCTCCTGCCTCAGTGTCCAGAGTGCTAGATTACAGGGATGCACTGTCATGCCTTGTTTGAGTAAGCCATTTCTTGGGGAGATTTTGAGGTCCTTCAGGAAAGAGCCCACAACCTCACTTTGATCCCTGTGCCTGGGGGAAGGCCAGTGTTCAGAGGCCTGTGACACCCGGGAAAGTGCCGTGTTAGATAGTGATGGCTTGTCTACTAGAGGGCTCCAGGAGTGTATCTAAAGGAGAGCACTTGTAGAGCTCAGGTGACACGAAACTAAGGCTATCCCCAGGCTTGCTCTTTTTCTTTTTTTCTTTTTTGTATTTTTAGGGAAAGAGTCTACAGGGCGTTCAGGGTCTCACTACTAGATCAGACTCATACTGATCCACCTGTTTGCAGCTTCCCAAGAGCTGGGATTATAGGCACATGCCACCACCCAGGCTCTTTCAAACCCCTTTGCCTCCCTCATCTCCAGAATCCTAGAATAGGGGGCTGCTTAGTCCAAGGCTATTCCTAAGCCCATGCTTTTATATTTATTTCATCTCAAATGCTAATAGTTTCAGTCTCCTTTCCAGAGTTAGACACCAAGTATTTTCTGCTAAAAATGGTAACTTGCCCATTAATAGCATGTAACCCTCAACAACGTGAGGGTTACTAGAATGATATAAACCCGAAATTTAGAAAAGCAATATCTCCTATGACCTGCCCTCCTACCATCTCACTCTTGCTCACAGGAAGAGGCCTATAGAAGGGAAACAAGTGAAGCTAAGGGAAAAAGCCCCCAAACAGGTGCCTGAGAAAAGGCAGCTTTGTGCTGTCGCTCCTAAGGCTCCTAGAACTCAAACTGGAGACCACAGAGAGACCAGCCACCTACCCTTGTGTTACTGTGCAGCTCCAGCCTTTAGGTAGACACTTATAGAAGTCCAGCTTCTAGATTTACCTTTACAGAAGATTCACTTTTCCTTTTACTGTGCATACAGTATAAAAGGTTGCACAGGTGGGCCATGTTCCTCTGGAGTCCTTTTGGGATGCCAAAGTGCCCCATTTCCCATCACCTAGTAACAGATTAACAGGGTTATCTATCCTGGCCTCTTTTTTTTTTTAAAGAAGTGGCCAGGATTTTTTTAATGAAAAGTGAGGAAGAAACTGGCTCTGAAAAACAAGCTTAATCCAAGTAAAAAAGAGGAAAAGCAAGATAAAAGAACAAACCAGAAAAAGCATGGTGAATTGTCATGAACAAAAGCCCCATTAGCAAGCTTTTTTTGGTATTTGTGGCCTTTTATGCTCTTGAAATCTCAAGGACACCCACAAGAACTACACCTGGGTCCTGAGAAGCCATGGTCCTGGAGTCTTGCTGTTTTTGAAGAGAAATGTCAAGTCTTCCAGAGGCTCACAGGAGTAGCTTTTTCCTTTGGGGGATCTTGTTCTTCAGCAGTTCAGGTTACACTGGCTCTATTCTAGATAGATGTTTCTATCTCTGCTACCCTTACTTCAGTGGGTATTATAAGGATCACTGAGAAGAGGCCCCTCCATTTTGGCTTTTAAGGATCCTATACCACATGCTTGTAGCTGCAGATGCGAGAAGGGAGGGTTAAAATGAACATATCTATAGGGGAAACACACTCAAATGTGTGTCTCATTCCAGGTGAAAATTGACCAATCTTGAGCCTGTCAGTTATTTGCTGCCTTTTTTCTCCCCAGCTATTGGCCTACACTCTTAGAAATAAGTGCCCCAGAGTATATTCTTTGGTTTGCTGTCCTTATAGCCAGTCATTGACCCTTAGACCCTGCTGGTTGAAAGAAGGGGCTTCTGTGAAGATAGTGCAGTGGTAGGGTTTGTTGCTGGTTGGGTTCTTGTTTGTTTTGTTTACAACTGAATCTCACTTAGTAGTTCAGGCCGGCCTCAAACTTTCCATCCAGTCCTCCTGACTTAGACTCCTGGAGTGCTGCACTTACAAGCATATGCTACCAAACTTGGTTTGACATTGCTAGTTTAAAGGCAAAAGGGTTATGGCAAAAGATTTGCCCTCCTTTGCTTCATTTTCCTTTTTCCTTCCTCAGTGCCGAGGGTGAGGACTTTGTGCATGGTAGACAAGTACTCTACCATTGAGCTCTATGTCCCTATACCTACTTTCATTTCGGTGGCAAGCAGAAACATCAAAATGACACC